ACCACACGGGCGCTTTCCGTCATCCTACGGTCACGAGTGCATGTGTGATAGGGAAGTCAGCGCAAGACCTTGCTCTTTGTAATCTCCTCCCCGAGTATTAAAACCCCCTACCCCCCTAATGTTAGATCTTGCCATTGTAGTATAATATAATGTCTTGGTAACGAATATCGAATCAGAGAGCAAGCGTTCCCCAAGGCAGGCAGTCAGACAGTGAGACAGTCAGGCCCGCAGAGGGCAGATAGTCAGAGAGTCAGACGCTGAATGCAGACGCCTGACTGTCCTGTCTGGCCCGCAGTCTGACTGTCTGAAACGCGGTTCAAGCCCCTTTCCGCATCCATTATCCCTATATAGCCCCCTATAAACCCTATGTATACATATATATATATACACCCTATAATACTATAGTAGTTTTCATTTTATTTCCATTATCCCAATATAAGGGGGGTCGGGGGTTTAATCTTAGGGGGAGGGGATTATAGCCCGCGCCAGCCAGAGGCGATCAAGGCAAACCCCGGCTCAGCTTACGGTCCTAGGTTTCTGTTAAGGAACTTAAATAACCATAAAATGGGTATGTCAACGTAGGATTCAGGGTTTAGATTAACATATTATGGGTAGATAGAAAAGAATATTTTTTTCTGATGCTAACTCACCTTCAGTTCCTTAACAGCAACCCACTATCCGACCAGGGACTGCGCTGCGGGATGGAGTAGCTTTGTTATGGTAAGCAGGCTTTAGATAGATAGTAAGAATGGAAGAGAAAATGACAACTACTATTTAGGTTTTAGGGTTCAGGGTTGTAGCAAGATAGCTTTGTTCTGCATTTCCCTGTCTTCAGAAGGCAGGATAGTAGTCGTAGCGTTGCCTGTCTCAGCCTCACCGCACGCAACAAAGACTGGGTTGAGAATTAAGTCACGACAGTGTCGATATGCAGGATATACAGTGACTAGGGTTCCTTGTTCATTGAAGTCAATGCCGTGTAACACCACCATCTAACCACTTTACGACGACCCGTGCATAACCCGTTTAGTCTCCAGTCAATTATGGTTACTTTAAGCTCCATACCCTCAACCTGAGAGTTGAGAAAGCCATAGCCCTGAGGCGTTCTCCTAGGTTGGCCCGGAAGCCATACTAAAGCCTATACAAGAAATGGCACCTTCATGACTTTGGGGAATATTTTGGATTACGAGTTTCCTGACCTGAGCGGGGGGGGGGGGTGGGGGGCAGGTTGTCGGCCTGCGCAGGCTGATTCTCTGGTGCTCCAGTTGCCCATGATTTGATCCGCATGGTCGCTGGGTATAACCCAGAACCCCCAACGCTAAACCCCAAGGAGCCACAAGCCCTAAAGAACCCCGGGACCCTAAACCCTTGGGTTCAGGGTGCAGAACCCCAAACTGGTATCCCCAACAAGCACCGTGCTCGATCCGGAACCCGCTCCCATCGAAACGCACCAAAAAACACTGCACACCATAATGGAGAATCAAATGGANNACAACATGGAAAATAACATGGAAACTGCCGTTACATGGGGGATTTAAGGATAATTGCACATTTCCATTCAGTTTTCTGTGGAGTTTTCATGCTCTGGGAGTTCCCCTCCATTTCCTTTTCCAGTTGATTCCTTCTTGCTCGCTCTCTCTCTCTCTCTCCTCTCTCTCTCTCTCTCTCTCTTTCTGTCTGCGTGTTTACAGTAAGTAAATCAAATCAGAAGCTAAACCCTTTTTTGCGGCAGGCTTGTCAATACCTTCAACCTGCAACTTAAAACCCGAAACCTCTAACCCCAAACCCAGAAGCTTGACCCTTCCAGCCTGCGCCTTGCAGTTTGACCAGGCCTGGCGGAG